TTAAAGACAACTTTCGTAATTGTTTTTCTATCGCGCAATGAATCGGTTTTAATCTTCTCAATCAAGTCGAAGTAGTGTCCACTTTGCGATTTCTTGTGTTTAAGGAATAGCCAGAAATCTTTCGATACTAAATACGATGTTTGTGAAACGAAACCATTTAGCTATATAGTTTGAAAGAACAAATGTAGAGTGAGATACTACATTACCGTGGTGCAAAAACCAAAATTTTAATTTTTTGATGTGTTATTTATCAGTTAATGCTGAGTTAATGTTAATTTGTTTTAAAGAGTTTTTACTGTACACTGGCAGTATTCAAAATATTGTTCTATACAAGTATGAATAATAACACCTAATATATGTGTGCATGTACATATTATATAAGTATCAACGGTATTTGTTATTGCTATAAAAATGTTTAATTTATCAAGGTCGACTGTAGCGCAACATGAAAACAAATCAAATACAAATATAAAATATTACGTTATGTAGCAAAATAGATTGCATGTTGTCGCATATAATTTATGAGGTTCCAAAACAAGCACACATAATTTTTTGAAACTCAGTGCAGTGACTAGTTCTCCTTGCAATTTTTAAGTAAAAACATTTCCTTATAAGTTTTTAATTTGATTTCAAATTTTTGATTGAAGGTGGCCGACACACCACAGGAAGTGCCGTTCTTAAGTATTTTACAGCATCTGCTGCGCATTGATCCCAAGGAGCCGGTCAGTGATGTTATTTGGGACACTGCAGAGAAATTGGTTCATCGTGCTACTTTACTTGAAAACCATGAAGACTCAGTACGTTTACTACGTACACCCAGTGTACAGAAATTTACATGTCCGCACTGCCGCAACGATGCAACAAGTCCAAGTCGCAAGGCATCAACATTACCGAACTCACCTAACAGCGTTTTGACAACATCGACATGTTCATCACAACATCTAAGCAGTCCACAAATGAATATACCCGTTCCGCCACCACAACCCTTAACCAACAACACTATAGTGCCACCACCACCACCACTACCATTGGCACCATCCGCGACTTCTGCACAATTAACTGCCGGTGTACCACCACCTCCCCCACCACCGTTATTAAACGGTAATGCACCACCGGCACCACCCCCTCCAACATCAAATTCGCTATTCAACACAACTTTACAAGCAGTACGACCAACAACACCCGAACCCGGCTATATTGATCAGACAACAGTTTTGCTACCGCAACAAGATACTCCTGCACCCAAAGCTAAAATGAAAACTATTAATTGGGGTAAAATTCCGCCTAGTAAAGTTATTGGAAAAGAAAATATTTGGACAATAGTTGCTACTAATCATCAAGATAGACCTATGACCGATATTGATTGGAACGAAATGGAAGGTCTCTTCTGCTTGCAATCAACAAGTGCACAAGGTTCACCTAAGTTGGGTCGTGATGGTAACGGTTGTGATACGCTGGATCGAAAATCGAAAAAAGAAAACACAGAAATAACATTGCTCGACGGAAAGAGAAGCCTTAATGTAAACATCTTTTTGAAACAGTTTAGAACGTAAGTAATATATGTTTTTAAGTTTACTTTGATTACTTATTATTTCCTTATATTAGTTCCAATGAAGATATTATACAACTAATACGTGATGGAGAACACGATGATATTGGTGCTGAAAAATTGCGCGGCTTATTAAAAATTTTACCAGAAGTTGACGAACTCGATATGTTGAAGTCTTTTAATGGAGATAAAAATCGACTGGGTAATGCTGAGAAATTTTTATTACAATTAGTGGAAGTACCAAAGTATGTAAACACATAATACAATATCATAATTAAAGAAATGTGATTACTAAGTAAATAATCTTTTTAGTTACAAATTACGCATAGAAAGTATGTTGCTTAAAGAAGAATTTGCTGCCAACGTCAGTTATTTGGATCCATGTATTAATGCTATGATCTACGCTGGTGATGGTAAGTTCTATAAAATTCTCTTGGAATTATTCCTCAAATACATTTGGTTCTTTATTATAGATCTTATTAACAACAAAATGCTACAGGATCTGCTTTATATGGTTGTTGTAGCTGGAAATTTTCTCAACTCAGGTGGTTACGCTGGCAACGCTGTTGGTGTTAAACTTGCTTCATTGCAAAAATTGACTGATATAAGAGCTAACAAGCCTGGAATGAATCTCATACATTTTGTAGCCTTACAGGCTGAAAAGCGAAATCCAGAATTGTTAAAGTTTACAACACAACTGAATACATTAGAAAATGCCACCAAGTATTTTTTCAAATAACTCAAAGTTAAACCATTTTTTTTATGCACCTCTCTTTTACTATATAGAACCACATCGGAGCAAATTAATAATGAAATCAATGCTTTAGACACGCGCATACGTAAAATCAAAAAACAAATTGAACAAACCGCAACTGATGAAGACATAAAGGCACAGATGCACGAGTTTCTACAGGTTTGTAAAACCCAACCATTAAATCTAATAGAAACTATTATTAATATCTTTAAATTACTGACAATTAAAATGCGCCGTCCTTCTTTATAAAACAATACGATAACCAGTACGATACGCCAATTATCAGAGTGCAAAACAAGCTGCATATATCTTTCAACTTACAACTTACAATGCCTTACCACCTCCTGATATGCTTCGCAACTACTATATAATCATATTGTCTAAGATGTCAATTTTAATTGCTTCATATGGATGGGATAACGATAGACTCTGATGATACTTAATTATTTATTCTATTATTGTAAATATACAATATATGGATTCTGATTTTTGATCATAGTTGGACTTAAATATCTAGATCAGTGAATTTAGTGGAGTGCATAAAACATATATATATATTTATATGTATACGAATAGCATACTGATAAAACTGAAGCAATTTAATTCTCTATTTTATTATTGTGATATATATTGACTCTCTCTATATATATAATTTTTATCGTTAGCAGAACTTCATCAATAGATTTTAAGGAGCGCAAACGTAATATAGTATAAAGACTTAAACTAGCTACAGTCGTACTTAATAACTTAATATGTGCCTACGAAACTGTATGTAAAAGATACCAAAATATAAATAAAAATGTGAATTATTTACAAACTGTAAATAAAGTCCATCTATCAGATTATCTCATTTATCTGACCTTTATGTGAAATTTTAGCTAATATTAGATATAAGAGAATTCTCAACAAGAGCATCATAAGTCCCAGTTAACTGGATAATATAATATAGGTAATTCTATATTAACATAATTAGTTGCGAGTATTGTTTGAAAATCGATTTTGTTGGTTTTTAATTATATATGTATACAGTGGCATATATTTCCTGTAGGTATATATATCAGAAAAAAATTTATGTAGCTTAAAAAAAGACACAATAGAAAATACATCAACATAGTTTTGCGAAAAAGATGGAAATTACCTTCATAGTTTTTATTATCTAATATTTTTAAATTTAAATAGTTTCTATAGTTTATCATTATACATTTTCAAAGGGTGCTGAACGAGAAGTCGAAGTACTACAAAATGGTATGAAGGAAGTGGAACGAATGCGTATTAAACTAGCCAATTTTTTCTGTGAAGATCCTTCCACATTCAGACTTGAGGAATGTTTCAGAATATTCCAGTCATTCTGTGAAAAATTCAAACAAGCAGTAAAGGATAACGAAAGGCGACAACAATTGGAAGAGCAAGCAATATTAAGGAGAAAACAACGAGAAGAACAGCTTGCTAGAAGAAATAGACAATGTAATTATTATATTTTCCTTACTGTTGACATAATAATTAACATTAAAAAATTTTTTTTATCATTCGTAATAGTCAACCAGTGTGGTACCCCCGTTTCTGATTCAGAGAATCAATTATTTTTAGATCCAGCATTTGATCCAAGAGCTAGTCCAGCACTATCACGACGTCGTATGGGCTCTTTTAATAGTGGAGCAGATAATAGTTTCTTACGTAATGAAACAAATGAAGGTATGTCTCCAGACATAACGCCTAACGGCAGTTTGCGCAGACGTCGCAGTCGTGTTTTAGCTGAAGAAGATGACCTAATGGAATTCTTAAGATCATCGTCTGGTCATGAACATAGTAGTAGAGAACGTAAAGCTTATGGTAGCTTAGGTGAGTAATATTTAATTTATACATTTAGTATAGATTTTTTTATATATATGCGTCTACACCATAAATTAAAATTAAAAATATCTGATATTATTATTACAATATTTAGGTGAATATGGTTTAAGCCAGAAACTAAATAAGATTCAAAGATTTCAAAACTCTTAACTTGACGTCATGTAAGATTTTATTTTTATATTTTTTTAAGTTTTTGGTGTAGAGTTTTAGATTTCACATAGGAATTAGTTTTTGTGTGTCTCAAGAATTGTTTTATCCACAAATTTTAATATTTGATGTACTTTTATTTTTTAATTTATAGATCGCTCTTGGGCTCGGCGAGCACGTTCCGGCAGTTCCAGTCGTAAACGCCCTGAATTATTAAATATTGATTTCGGAGCAGACAGAGAACGTGCTAACTCACCGGCACCAAATTTGATGCAAGATAAACAATCCCCTTCAACGAATTCAGCGGGTGGCTTAACACCGACATCTGGTAATCAAAGTACCAATGAGGATGTTAAACCAAGGTATATATATCTCTAATATATGTTAGCACAGAAATTATATTTTATATATAATTTAAAATTTAATAGAATATCGCGGGAATGGCGACAAAAAATAGAGACATGGTTACAATCTAACGAAAACGATGAAAAACAAAACGAGGAATATAAGCGCAAAAGA